TGCCAGGGAAGCTGGGGACCCTGCCCATGAGTCTCCATTTCATCCTCACAACAACCCTGTGGGGTAGGTTAGGTAGAGAAGGGGAGATTTGGCCCGGGGTCACTCAGCCAGCAGAGTGAGAATACAAACCTGGGTCTCCCCACATCAATCTGCAACTCTGACCACTGTGCAGTGCTGCCTCTACTGATCTGTAACGTTCCAGAGGTGTTGTAATGTAATACTCCGTTTCTCAAACGAGTGTATGCCTGTCTGTTGGTACACTTAGGAGTCTTGATCCTGGTTGTGTGGTGGGCTAGTTGTGGCAAATGGTAGGGAAGCTCAGTATTTCTGTATACAGTTGTAGGGGCTTTATTGCAATGTGGTATGGCCTGATATTATGTTCTTATTCCAGTGTGGGGTGTGGGGGGGGGGCGCAATGGAAGCTGAGTGATAGGGTCTCTCCAAGTGATTGCCAGAAGTGAGATGCGTCCTGGTCTTGTGTCTTACAGATAATCTTACAAATAGTCCTTTGCATTTATATCATGCTTTCAACTTTAAAAGGATCATAATGCTGATTGTGTGAACTTAGGCAAATCACGAGAGGTAGAGCAGGAAGGGTTGCATCAGTGCTTAGTTCTTGTGGCCCTTTCTTACACGCCCAGGGAAATGCTGATCACCACTTTGGGGGCAGGAAGCAATTTTTCTCCAGGCCAGTTTGGCCCCCAGTGATCCTGGAGGTTTTTTTTTTTTTAATAAGTTAATAAGTTTTTTTTTTAATAAGCTAATAAGTTATGCTAATGAGCTCCTACAGTTCTTTTTCTACGAAATGACCCCTGGGGACTGCCATATCTGAGGGACCACCTGTCCCCATATGTACCCTTGCACTCAGCAGACCATCATTTATTGGTTTTCCCTGGTCCAAACAACGTCTGCTTAGCCTCAACCAGGGCCAGGTGGAACACACTCCCATCTGAGATCAGGGCCCAGTGTGACCTGTTACCGTTCTGCAGGACCTGTAAAATGGAGTTGTTCCACCAGGTCTTCGGTTGAGGCAGCAGACGCCCAATGATTAGGCCTCCCTTGCTGACATTCTCCAACTGTATATTCATAAGATCTCCACTGTCCTTTGGTTTATGGTAGCCTCCAGCTATTTGGTATTGGTGTACTTTCCTAATTTATTGTGCTACCTGCTTTTGTTTTATTTATTTACTATTTGTAACTGTTTTAATGGTTCTGTAACATTATTGTTGTGACCGCCCTGAGCCTGCTTGCGGGGAGGGTGGGATATAAATTGAAATAAATAAATAAAATCTTACTCAGGATCCTATGACTTACTTTTAAGGGAATAAAATAAGGGAAACATAAACTTAGAGGGTATTTTCATTTTGATCACTGATATCCTCCGTAACCAAGAGATTTTATATTCAGCCCATTTAGCTAGGGGTTTTTTCTTTGTTTTTTTCTGTTGTGGGGTTGAAAAGTTGTATCATAGTTTCCAAGTTCTCAAGTGAATAAATCTCCAAATATCTAATATTGTCTGTCTGCCATCATAAACTCATGAGCCTAGATATGTTTCAAGGTATTATTTTGATATTGAACTCCCTGGATATTTTTCTGGTGGTGCTAACATACTGATAAGATTTCTACCGAAGACTGAACAACAATGGTGAAAGGGGACAGAGAGTTTTTGGGCATTGTGTGACAGAGTGTTGGACTAGATGGCCCATTGGCCTGATCCAACACTGGCTTCTCTTATGTTCTTATGACACCCTTGCCTTACTCCTTACTGTAATGAAAGAAAGAATGAATAACCACTATCATTTAAAATCCTTCTTTTTGGTGCTTGATAAATACATTTTATTCAATTTTAAAGGGCAGGGTCCATTCTGAAGACTACTAAGATTTGCTTTAGGTTTTTCCAGTCTACTCTATCAAATGCCTTTCCAGTATCTATAAAATATAATGGGCTGGGAATCTGTTCTACTTTAACAAAATTTATGATGTTCAATTTTCCTGTATTCTAGTACATACACCTATCCATAAGAACACTGTGCCAACAAAGTTGCCCAGAAAGGAATTTAACTGTTTTCCTAATATGGCTGTTATTATCTTATCGTCTCCCTTTAATGGAGAGACTGGGGAAAAGGCTGTAACATTGTTTAACATGGAAAAATGATCCTTCTCTGTTCTGAGGGAGGGAGGGGGAGAGGCATGCTTTGTGACCACTGGAGGAAGAAACAGAAGCTGGAGGGGTGAAGCTCTGGGCTTAGAGGGACACAAGCTCAATGATTTCATCCATTCATGGCAGCCCAGTCCACCAAGAGCAGATCCTGCCTAATGAACATGTTTTTGTGGAAACCTTTGAAAGTCGAGAATGTAAGCTGCCAAAGGTACAGGTGTGAATTTTGTATGATGGGTGGGAGGGCTTTTGGGAGGTGGCTGTCCACCAAAGGGACCCGTCCCAGCTCCTGTTAGAGAATGACCTGGCAGGGCAGGGATCTGCCATGGGTGCAATTAGAAGAGGCCCGCCTGCCACTGAGCACATGCACACTTCCACCCATTCTGTCCTAGAACCATCCTTAAAGAAGGACCACACAAAATCCTTGAGTTGCCCCATGAGAGCAAGAGAAAAGAGCTGTATCACTTTAAATTAAGCAAGGCAGCAGGAGGAGAGGGGTCATCAGGAGACACTAGGTCGCTCACTCAAGGGGGAAAAGCTGTGAGGTTTTAGGGGAGAGAGAGTGAAGTTGACTGGCTGACTGATCTGTGTAATGATAGCAGGTGCAGGGAAAACAAGATTTATCCTTCTACTGTGGTCTGACTGCTGCTCAGAGGGATCAGATGCAAGTAGTAGTAGCCAAGTTTGCCCCAGTTTTCTGTGGGGAGAGGTTTGAATCATGCTACGCTTGAACAGGAAGAAAGTTTATTGCTACAAATTAAGAGAGAGCACAGACAGAGAAAACAGCTACCAAGCTTAGCAACTACAAATCCAATGAAAATAATATAAATCATAAATCTAAACTATATTAACAATTCAGAATAGTAACCTCTGACAATCCCACCTGGCTGTTGGAACAAATGTACCTCTAGACCCCTTCCTGCTCCCTGCAAAGGAATGGCTCCCAGTGTTTGGACAAAGCATTTGAACAAAGAACGAAAGTATGATTCAGCCTTTTAATCCTTCCTGCCATGTGTTGGTGAGAAGCTTCCCCCAATCTGGATTTAGGGGACTTGCCCCACATAGAAATGTGTACCCCCACACACACTTCCCTCCAATCATCTGCAGAACGGATTTCACTCCCATACCCAGATCATGTTTTACAACAGGTATCCATCTCACCTCCAGGCCGATAGGCAAATGGCTCTCCCTCTACAGAAACAAATCTGTCAGTGCATTTTATGGCTCTCTTTCCATAGAAAATAAATGGCTGTCAAAACCCCAGGAACTTCCCAATGCACTTCAAAGCACCTTGTATCTCTGAACCACAACACTGGCTAGGCATCCTATTCACACCTTCTAAACGAGGTGCACCTAGATTCACACGCAAACTATTCCTGCAGTTACACAGTTCAATGGATGCTTGGCAAACAGAGATTTCATTTACCTTTACTAGCCTTCTCACTGAGGAACTCCCCATTAGCTTCTGGGGAACTCCAGAATTCTGAAACTGAAAACCCTGATCTAGAATACTAAAACCCACCGCAATAGCCAGGATCACAAGAAGTCATCACTCCACAGCCCTAATCTTTCCCACCCAGTATTATCATCTCTATACTGCGGGTGAATACCTGAAGCTGCTATTAACCCAGACCACTGGTCCATCAAGGTCCATATTGTCTATTCAAACTGGCAGCAGCTCTCCAGGGCCTCAGGCAGAGGTCTTTCACATCACCTACTGTCTGGTCCATTTAGCTGGAGATGCTGGAGACTGAACCTGGGACCTTCTTCATGCCAAGCAGATGCTCTACCACTGAGCTACAGCTCCACCCCCCAATCCAGGGAGTAGAGGTTGAAAGTGGCTTGCCTAAGGCCACCTCATGAATTCAAGACAGAGGTGAAATTAGATTCAGAGACTTCCCAATTAATTATAGGATTTGCCAGCACCTTTAATTGATGCTCACAGGACTGAGCTGTCCTGTACCACTGCATGTTTATAATCAAACATCACATGAAATGTGCTCTGAAACCTGTAGATATTAGACAGTAAATCCCTAAGGACAGCAAGCTGGACTCTTGGCATAATGCTGAAACAAAGTAATTCAATAATCTTGAGTTCCTGGAGGGGCATGCCCTCCCCCCATGTCCCATGACTATTTCATTAGCTTTCTCGAAAGAAACTAAGCATCTAGGTACCTTAGGTGCGCCAGTGAGGAGTGCTCTAGCATTCTTCACTCCATTATACTACAAGACAATTATATCTTTTTCAGATTTCCAAAAACAGGACATTTTGCCTTCAGCACAAGTACTTTAGGCCTTGTTAGCATCCTATATGTTGGAAGGGAGCATAGAAACCTTCCAGTTTCCTTATTTCTCTGCTGTATACATTTTTAAAGGTACCAAATGTTATTTCCATTAAGTCTCTTGCTAGCTTAATTCTCCATAAAACAGTCGCAACACTGCAAACCATCATCCCCCCCCCCTTTCTATTTAAAGCAGAATTGGAGACTGTATAGTGGTACCAGTATATGCCAAACCTGCATTTCAATTTCTTTGATATCAAGAGCAGCGCTATTTCCTTTCTTTATCTCATTATCCTGGAGATTCATTTTCTCTGAAAAGTCTTTTCAGTTGTTTCAAGCCATAGCACAGCACCTCAGAACATATTTCTACAGATATTTTTAGCTGTAACTTCCAGAGTACACGCTATGATTTACTCTCATGATATTGTTCCCAAGAATGCTAAATACTGCAACTCTAAGAAGACTTACTCCAGTTTAAGCCTATAAAAATCAATGGATTTAGACTGGAGCAACTCTGCAGAGGATTGTACTGGTAGATATTTAAATATTAAGAAAGTTACCGGAATTCTTCAGCACAGGAGATCCAGGAGGAGATAAAGTCAAGCTGGGGGACAGGTAAAGATAATTCCTATTAACTCCAGTATTAAAATCAAAAGGAGATTTGTAATCCTCATATAGATCCATATCCAGCCGGTCCATCATAGATATCTCAAAATGCATGGTCACATTTCCTTTCTTCATCCAACGAAGAATCCATCCTCCTCATTTTTAGTTGCACAGAGCATTTACTTGCTAAGAAGAAAACCTCTGATGTAGAGATCCTAGGCTTTCACATTGTGCTACATTTTCACAGAAGCATTTCAGAAGTAGATAAGACTGTGAGGTTCAGAATACCCGTTTAATAAGCAACTGGCAAAGTCAGTATTAAGCTGCAAGAGTGTATACAAACACATGGTTAGAAACCTGTAAATCTGTAACTTGCCTGTGTACTAAAATGCTCTCTGCATGACCAGGCATTTGCAATACACACAGTGGTTCTGGAAGGTCTTTGCTCTATGCAGGATTACACCAAGGCTTTTCAGTCATTTCTATAACATGTCAGCAGACTACAGCTGCACCAGAATATCCTTAATCTTCTAGGACACAAAAGGATTACTAGCCATCATCTATCCTATAAACCATCTGTGTAGGACTTTATGTCGATTAATGGAATAGGTCTTTTTCATTACAGAGTGTAGCCTTTCTGCTTTGCTCATCACTGTGGTAGAACATAGCTATTTCTCACATACAGTAGAAATACATGCACTCCTACTGCATGAATGCACAGTGGAAATCTCCATTCCTTAGAGTATTTTCCTCTGGCTGTTGTGGAAATAAATAGGCACCAGGGTAGACTGGCCATTAAGGCCACCGGGGAAAGTCCTAATGGGCTGATGGCCTTGTGGGCCAACTCCCCCTTGCCAGGACCACCCCAGCCTCACACAAGGGGCAGCACAACCCCATACTGAGGTGGCTCTCACAGCCCCTATGGCAAGTGAGCTGGCAGCTAGGGGGGCCATGGTGGTGTGACAAGCAAGCTGGTGGCTGCCCAAGCTGCTCTCAAGCAGCTGCTGCAGTGAGTGAGCTTCCTGACCCACGCTGGTGATCACACCATTGGCCATCTGCTGGCACTGTGAAGGTCCTAGATTGGTGGTTACAAAGGACAATGCCAGAGGATAGAACTAGTGTTTGGCCAGGTTTTAGGGAAATGTTGAGAGGAGAATTATAGTTTCCTCACTCTTGATACCCTCCTACCAAAATGAAAAAGATTGTGATTGCATCAAGAAACAGCTGGGACAGCATATCATCCCAGCCCCTAATAATTCCCAAGCAAATCCTCTGTTTTCCCTAAATTCTGGTTCCACCCCAGAGCACTCAGCAGTGACCTTCCTGCTACAAAGTCTGGATCTGTTTTATTTATTTACAAAGTTTATACTCCACCTTTCTACCTTCATCAAGGCCACTAAGATGACTAGCAGATACAATAAGCATCATTTTTTAAAAACCACCTTTAACTATTAAAACCACACACACACACACACACACACAATTAAACAATTAATGTCAGGATGGGGAAAAACAACTGTTTATAATTGGATGCCTTCCACAATATTTATCACAATTCCTTTTTAATAGGGGAAGGCAGAAGAGAAAACGCTTCGGAACCTTTTATAATAAAATTAAACAGACAAGAAAGCAGATTGCCAAAGACCAAGGCACTTGAGCCAATTACAGACAGGTTAATGCGAATGCTTTTCAATGTAAAGTGGCTTGTTCAGGCTCAGCCAAGCATTATCAAGCTATTTCCACAATAGGATCCAGTAATTGGACTGTAATTTTCATCTGTTTTGTTTCTGATAGCCCAGCAGGTGAACTCAGAAAGCCGGAGAGCGCCAGTTTCTAAAGATGTTCCTTAACTTTTTGTTTTAAAAAAGCTATTGAGCTGTTACATCTAAATATTTACAAAAGCCACCTCACATATTAGGAAGAACATATTGTTTCCTTGCTACCAGTATAACTGCTCAAGTGTGGCAGAGCCAATATTTTATCACTTCTAAATGAAAAGGGTTCGGGTTACTTTCCTTAAAGACGAGTAGAGCATACTACCCACAGACATCATTTCTAGCAACTATTACCCACTCCTGCATGGGGATGGATCCAATAAACTACAACCAAAGTGTGCAAGTGGAATTTTTGCCCCTTCCCATTGCAGTCCCCAATGCTGTCTCCTCCACCCCAAATGTGGATCAGGGAGAAGCAGCAAGAAGGGGAAATTGGAAGAAAACACACACACTGTTTGCAACAGCACAGTTCAAGTTTGAGGAGGGGTCGTTTCTGCAAATGTCCCCTTTCTTGTAGCAACTGCAGTATGCATGCAGGAATCCTGATACTCAAAAGTGGGGGGGGGGGTCACAAGGCCTGCAATGAGTCTGGGAAAGCAGCAAAGACTCCTTCTATGAACTTATTCAGTTTGCACCCATTAGATCCAAATCCACTGTGGTTAATTCTAACATATGCTTTCAATAATTTCAGGAGACAAGGGAACTGACCAAAGACCCTCAGAACAAATGTATTAACAAATGGAGGCTGATACAGGAAACTCTTAAAATCAACATCACTGTTGAAATCTTTGCTCCTTATGCTCAGAAGGGTAGATTTTTTTTAAAAAATGTCAGATTTTGATTTAACATTTCAGTTCTATTAAGTCTTAACATAAATTGCAATTACATATAGATATGCTAGTGGGAATAAAATCAAGGATGGCTAACAGACATAGTAAATTCAAGACTGTATTTAGGTGGAAAGGACAAATTATGAGAAGAAAGATCTGATTTATCAAGTGTTAAATACAGTACACTAAGCTTTCTTTTTTATCCTTATCAGTCAAGGTGTAGACATAAAGCAGTCTTTCTTAGTGACATTGGAAATGCACTGAAACAGCCAAAAGGGTAGACACAGCTTTCATCCCATACTCCCAGTCTCTGTGGTATCTGTAAAGCCGCACTACAGCTAAGCTATGCAAAAGAGCACCTTCAAGGTCTGGGGAGGCAGGATTTAGGACCACCATTTTGAAGCTGTGTCTCAGCCCCACCTCCTCCATGGATTGGCTGCAAAGCATTCACATAGCCACCCAACACCTCCTCATCTGAGCCAAACTCAAGGAAAGCCCCGAGAGTCAAGTTTGTGTGAACGCTCTTGCCCTCCCCCTCAAAAAATCAGGGGCAACCAACTATTCACATGGGAAGTAGCAATGTAGTATACTCGGCTCATTGGGTGTCCCTGTCATCTAAGACTAGATTGGTAATCTGAGAAAAAGCCTTCTTGATTGTGACACCAAAATTACAGAACTCGCTCCCCAGGGAGATTCATCTGCCCCCCCCCCGCCATTGTCTTCTATCCACAGGTGAAGACTTACCTGTTTTATTTGGTATTTCCTCACTGATCAGCCTTCCCATTCATGTGTTTCATTTTTTTATTGTTTTACATGTATATGTATTTTTAAAGTGTGTGCTAATTGTTTGCTGCCGTGTTGACCCTGCACTGGGTGGAGGGGCAGCATGAATTGTTTTAAACAAATGACTCAAATCACATTTTATTTTGCCCATGATTAGGTGCCACTGAGTGACTCGTTTGAGACACCAGACATAATCAAACAGTACAGAAATAAAGCAGTTGAATGCTTACGGAATTTTTTCATTCTCTTGCTGATCACTACAACCAGCATCTACTCTGTGTGCATTCCCAGTATTGGCTTTACAAATATGGACCATTAACAAGTCTTATCACTGCTAACCTGGGAAGGAATCACTTGCAGTCATTTATTGCTTGGAACTTATCTGGAACAAGAGTTGGAAGGTGCAGCATTCCCAGACCACAGGGAGCCATACTCAAAGCCGGACAGAGCTTTCATTGCTGCTGTTTGACCTACTAACAGGGTGGCTAGAGGGGAGAAAGATTCTCTACCCCCATTCCTCCCTCTCCTGAAACAGTTGGGCTTACCACTACATGTTAATCAGGATCACTTATGTTGTCTACCTCCACAGTGAAAAAATAATCTTTGTAGAATTGTCGATTCATTCGCAGAAAACTTTATTAGGGGCTTGTTCGGATTACAGCTTCTTTCCAGAAATTGTACGCTGACATATCCCCCCGCCGTACATTGTAACACTGAAATCAGGTAATGCCATATTCTTTGGAACAAGAACTTCTAGGCTGAATGAGTTCTCTATACCGGAGAATTTTGAAAACAGATACTGCTTTCACTGTAGCTACTTAAACGCATTAACGGACATAATGATGTCCTCCTTTTATACCATCACAGGTAATCTGTGAGATGCAGTTCTCCATGGCATTGAAATATTAAAGCAGACTCCTGCCTTGGAAGTGACTGCTGCTAAAAGCGGGGTAAAGGCAGCAGTATGAACATTTGTTTTAGCCTACAGTTCATAGATAACAGATCTTTTGTGCCAAGGAAAAGCTCAGCAGCAGGCAACTGGCAGCCAGCCACATGGCTGTCTTCTTATATAAACTGCATCTTACAGTTCTGACGTCTTTGTTCCAGTTTGCTTCAGAAACACAAGTGTGGGGGGGAGTGAGGCTGGGGCAGTAGCCTTCATCCTTTGGACACGTGTTCAGAATTTTTTTTTATTTTTTTAATCTAGCAAGAATTATTTTCTGACAAAAAGGCTATGCAACAGATTCTCATTGAGAGGGAACAACTAGGAGTACAGGAAAAAGAGTGAGCAGGTGAATTAGCTTGGAGGCTGCATACTTTTAAGAAATGAGTCGTCGATATTCTAAAGCAATATTTTGTTAAAAATTTGAAAGTAGCCTTCACATTCTTGGCAAGACATACTGAAAAGAATTCAAGAACCTTTCCAATTTCTTTTTAAACCACCCACTGTCATTCTGGCCATGCTGGAATTTGCAGCTCAACATATACCTGACTTTATTCCACTTTCATTTCAGGGCATAAATTCTACTGTGGGGAGGATGTCAAGGAAGCAAAACTATGGCCATGAGCCAAACTTTAAAAGTGTTTGAACTAAAAGCTTCCAAGTGTTGAATATCACAATCAAGGAGTGTTCTCCAGGCACTCTACATCAGTTTCACTGGGTTTTAATCCTCATACAGCAAAGGGTCTCTTGGGCAATAAGATCTGG